TATAGGGGGGGGGAAACACTGCCTAAAACACGAGACAAAAATAAAACAAATGTGTTACATTTGATACATTTCTTATACATCATCTTATTAAATTATGTCATCATGACCACAACCTTGAAGTGAATATTTTCCACATATAATTCATATCATGTTTTGAAAACTGCAGGTTTCAGTTTTTAAAATTAAAGAACAATTGTGTTTGTGCCGCCAATTTGGAGCTCAGTTATGTGTGATGAGTCACATGTGCACGCTCTCCACCAGAGGTCAACAGGAAGAGGAAACAGATCTCACTTTTCTGTCCGTTTAGCAGTTACATGAATCTGCACTAAATGATTCTCCCACTTACGTAATGCTTTTTCACCAATCTGTGTGAATTTGACAAATAAACCTGCATTCATATTGGCACATTTCTTTTAAAACTCAACCTCATAGAAATCAGATCAGTCTAAAACGATGCCAAAAATCATAGTATGTGGTTTCTAAATGAGCTTAACACAAAGCAAAAAGGAAAAGGTCAACGCAAAACTAATTTAGCAAACCAAATTTAGATGTCTTCATTTGTAGTGTTTACTAATAAGTCAAGCATCACTTTCATTATTGCTCACATTAGAGTTGGTGATTTGAGTAAACATCCTAGCAACCAAACAACACACTTAACCGCATACAAACGCACTACAATCACATGACACCTTAGCAACTCCATAGCAAAGGCCTGAAAACAAACCACAACATCATAGATTTTAGGTTCTGCTAGTATAAGTCACATTTTCCTGAGTGGAAATGTAAAAAAATATAGACTGAACCTGCAATTAGATGAAAATAGGCTGCATTCACGTGATGTTTTGATACCAACCGTTACCATGATGATTACTCGGAGCTATTTAACACTTAACCAATCAATATTTGTTAAAAACAAACGGCACTCACACCAATATAACCACATAGTGATAAATAATTAATTTTTACATTAATTATTTTAGAGTGTTATCAATATTCACCCAAATGCTGCCAAATCCAAAAGCTGAGTGCGTTTTGAGAGCGTTTCTTTACCTAAAACTCTTTCAAACTGTCAATCATTTCTAAAGAAGGGCGGGGCGAAAGTTTCCATTTAAGGAAAACGAGGCTTCGGTGACGTCATACACTAGCCAGCGCCCCTTGAGCGGGCGAGGATGACGTTGGCGTACACCGCCTTCAAAAATGAAGGGGAAAAAATTAGAAATGCGGAATTAATGTATATATTTTTTTTATTTTCCTACATTCGCGAATATTTGTTGTTGTAAGTGAGGAGAATCCCTTTTGGCAGCTGATGTCGATTTAGAGGGCGTTTTTTTTAGAGAGAGAGAGGGAAAGAGAGAGCGAGGGGGCGGGTGTCTCTCCCGCTCGCCTCGCGCAGCCTCACAGACGCTCGTGAAATCAACACAAGGACGGTGTGCTTCCACATCTTTCGCTTATTTTCTGGATTTTCTGGATAGACAACACCGTAATCGATGCGAGGCCTTCTAACGGACATTCGCCGCTGATATTACGCCCGCGTTTTTTCTGTTTTTGTCGTTTTTTCCCCCCTCAGCGGAGCGTTCGTTGGATTCGTTATGAATTCCAGCCCGCTTCCTAACGGCAGACTCCTACCGGACAGCCAGAGCTGGAACTCCTCCGGTTCCGACGAGGATCTGGACGTCGAACCGGGACCCGGTCCGCACGGAGGGGTGGCGGAATTAGGCGGGGTACTCAGTAAGGTGGGTTACGATGCTGCATAATACCTCCCGAACCGGGAAAGCGCGCGTGTGTGTGTGTGTGTGTGTGTGTGTTTCCACCTGATCCGATGTAAACAAACGTCAGGCGGTTGGATGAATGTCACGGAGCTTGTCAAGAAAATGACCAAAATCGTAAGTTAATCGCAAACAGTAATTATACCGATTTTAGTTAAGATATTTTGCATGGTGACATTATTTGCATGACAATTAAACCATTTTTAACGTTACCTATTACCGTAATATGCTTAATGTTTTACTTCTGATCTGTTCCTCATTACTGCCCGGACGCATGGGTTTTCTTAATTAAATTAAGCACAAATCAAACGCAGTACTACAAATGCTTAACAGTTTAAACAATATATGTGACCCTGAACCACAAAACCAGTCTTGGGTATATTTGTAGCAATAGCCAAAAATACATTGTATGGGTCAAAATTATCGATTTTTCTTTTATGCCAAAACTCATTAGGATGTTAAGTAAAGATAATTTTCCATGAAAACGGTTTGTAAATTTACTACCGTAAATATCTCAAAACTTAATTTTTGATTAGTAATATGCATTGCTAAGAACTTCATTTGGACAACTTTAAAGGCGATTTTCTCAATATTTGGATTGTTTTGCTCCCTCAGATTCCAGATTTTCAAATAGCTGTATCTCAGTCAAATGTTATCCTATCCTAACAAACCATATATCAATGGAAAGCTGATTTACCCTTATTACTGGTTTGCTCGCATTACGATTATATTTTCCATGGTGATTTCCCGTGCATGGTGACCATATGCTGCTCTTTAGACAGCAAGGCCCAAGGTTATGTTACCTAAGACTGTTTTTTGATATTTTATGATAAATACTTAATATGTGATGCATGGATATCTTTCTTTATGCATATATAATTCAGAAGGGGTGCAGCAGGTTCTGGGCAGAAGCTGGAGTTAGTCGGGGTTACTAGAGTTCATCTGCTAGTCTTTTCTTCCTGATGGGATTAAAGGAGAAAACCTCTCCTCATGACTCAGACAACTGATCATCTGTTTTTGTGATGAGAGGAGCATATTCCATAAGAGATTAGTGTATTATTCCACATAGAGGACCTACAATAATGTACAGTATTTGAAAAATAATGTTTTTTGAACATTAAAGCATGTCAACATATTCTGTTATACACAAAATAATGATCTTTAAAATAGCATCATATGACCCCTTTAAACCCTCTCCCATTTGAAGTATATTTATCTAGTATGTATTCAAGAACACAATCAATTGTTTTATTGAACTATGCATCATATGTTTATTGTCATTAGTCATCAGTATGGCTGTGTGCACACTCTTAGATACAGCTTTTTGTTTTCTTATAACAGTTTTGTTTCTCTACAGTGGACTAACTACATTCACGGATGGCAGGACCGCTGGGTTGTGCTGAAGAACAACACCTTGAGTTACTACAAATCCCAGGACGAGCGCGAGTATGGCTGCCGCGGTTCCCTCTGCCTCAGCAAGGCTGTCATCACAGTGAGTATCCCGGGGAAAGATCCTTCCAGACAGCCATGGGAATTTCAGAGCTGAGCCAAAATTACAATGATGGTGTGCATTCAAAACGAAAGCTTGAATTGGTTCAAATTGGTGATTGTCATGCTGCGAGCTTCAGAGTTGTAGTTGAATGGAAATACATGGGATGCATGATGTTTTACTGGCAATATAGACATTTATTATTATCAGTTTGATTAGGCAGATAATATAATGCCTCATTTTTCTAATTTTTCATAATTCTAATTCTTGTATGCCAACTTCAGGATTACTAAGCAGTTAGGCATATTTTTTGGCATATTGTGCATTATAATGTTTTAATACCTGATTAGACGTAAGGCATGTGATTTCACATCAATAACCCTGTTTTTGCATAATTCAGTGAATTGAATGCATTATTGAAACTTCACTGATTGTTTTGGGCCGTCATATTGTTAATTGGATATTTATTGAATGATAAAGGTTCTCTCAAAGTTATAAACAAACATTCTTCCGATGATGTCAATAGAATGTTTATTCTATTGTAAAGTTATCTGGTATTTAACAACATTCTGAAAACGTTAGCACAAAAAACATAATTTATACATCGCTCATTGTTTTTCTGAAACATTTTAGTTGGACGTTCGTCTGACTTTTTACAAATGTTAGTACTTATGGTTCAGAGAACATTCAAAAGTAACATTCCCATAATGTTTGTTTAATGGTAATGTTAGCAAAATGTTCTTTTAAATGTTCTTTTTTTAAAGCTGGGTCTGTATTGCTGCATCTCTAGAAATTAGATTTGGTATGATGGTTGTGCTTCATCTAAAATGATTATCGCTGAGGCAGTGGATGTGCTGAGAGCTCTTTTTAGGGCAGAGGAGAGGAGAAAAAAGATTGACGGAGGACAGACACGATCCTTTGCCACAGGCAGCTGGCCAGGCACAGACCGACTGTGGCCTATTTCCCCCCCATTCATGCTAAAATCACACTAACGCGCACGCACCTGCAGAAGCTGTGAGCCACCGTGAACTTTGCGTTTGACTCAAACTGAGTAGTGGCAAATAATACTGAATGTATACAGTATCTATAGGAGCTCAGGTTATGAATGCATACTGCTCAGATTTTGGGTTGATTGCTTATGATCTGATTTGGCCCCGACAAACAGAATGAAATGAGAATTCCCTGCATTGCGTTGAAGATTAACTCATGACCACACAGATTTCGACATGTGCCGCAGCAGTCCTTGCACACGCTCTGCCCGTATTATCTTGCATCACCACTGAAAATGAGGAAACAGGGCGAAGGTTGTGTTGTTATGGAGACCCTGTTACAGCTGGTCCTTCAATGATTAAACCAAAACCCTTACTGAAAATACAGGGAAAGGAACATACAAGCATTTTCTGAGATGTTTTAGATATAAGAAAATTTATAGAGTAAATACAGGAAGTGAAGTCTGAAATAATCAGGCTTGATGATGGAATGGTTTTGTAGGTTTGTGACTGTGCACAGCCTGCGCTCAGGTAGTTCATGTTTAAAGCTGCAGGTCGCTGCTGTGTGTTCGACATTCTAATTTGATGCTTTGCATTTTGGCTTTGAGCGAGAGAAAAATGGCCCCTTTGTTTCAAGACTTGAGAGTGACTCTTTTCCAGCTGTGTATTTGTTGAACTCCACCAACCTTTATGGGTTATCATAAATATTAACTTTGGTATTAAACGCAAGCGTGTGGTAGAAATGTGATGTTTAGGGTCCAAAATTAACTTTAGCACCTGCCAATGGTGTTGAATTGGCAGAATTTATCATATAAAAATATTCTCTACCAGCCTTTTTTAAAGACTGTTTGCCATTTGATTTATGAATTTCTTTGAATTATTTAGTTGTTTTTTCCTTGCATATTTAGTGTTAAACACTGCAGGTCACTGTGTGCATATAGAAGCCATTTCTCATCTCTGTATCTGTTCAGAATTTTTCAATTTTGTTCATAATATTTTATTTGGCTTAATGCAAGGAATATTCCTAGTTTTTTGAGAGTTTTGTACAGTTTATAACTTTGCATTGAATCACGTGTTGCTTACATCAGTGAGAGTTCGACTCTAACGGTTGGATTTCAACCATTTATTATGTTCCAGTTCCTCATAAATTTACCACTGTGTTTAAATTGTTTTCTTTTTGCTCACTTTGGCATGTGGTTACTGTTTATTTTGCACCCTGGCCACTGGATGAGTTTGGGCCTTTCTGTGTAATCTCAAAAAGAGGGCAAAAACAGGCACTTTTTTTTTTTTTTCATTTATAGTGCATCTAAACGTATTTCTCTTTCTCAGTAAATCTTGCTCTCAGAAAGCCGTTCTGGAATACGAAGCAGCTTTATTCAGATTGATTCGGCACGCACACGGCAGCAATCTGTCCTCGTAAATCCTCACAAAAACAGGTTATTGTGTCATTCCGCTCTTCCTGCTTGCGATTACGCTGTCCTCACATGACTCACACATACTTAAACCACACACAAACGGGACCACCCTAAAATCAGACTGGCTTAACCCTTGCAGACACAACAGGATTACACCGTCCACGTGAAGGCCTGATTCAAACCCAGAACGCCTCATTGTGCGTCCTTATAAAACTGGGTCTCACTGGTTCAGTGCTCAGATCAGCACACAAGCTGGAAACAGTGTTAATTGTGCTTTTTGTGAGACGCGCAGGCTGTTGAATTGGACTTGATTAAATTTGTGAACGTCAGACCTCAGGAGATGGAGACGGATTGTGAAAGATCAATCAGTGAGATGACAAAAACAATTTCACAGACACTCAGTCTGACTTAATCGGTCTGTCAGCAACACTTAACGAATCCAATGTGCTGTTTTACCATTGGCTGATTTCACGTTGAAACTCGAGCAATACTTTTCCTATTACGCATACTTGGGGTTAGTGATTTGAACAAACTTGTTGTAACCAGAAATTAACTTAGCTCCATGAACTTTTATTTAGCAAGGATGCTTAAAATTGATCAAAAGTGATGATAAAGGCATTTATAATGTTACAAAAGATTTCTATTTCAGATAAATAGTGTTCATATCGATATCGGAATTATATCGTATCGACCGAAATTAAGAAATATATCGTGATATACATTTTGCCCATATCGTCCAGCCCTATGAAGGGGTAACATTGTTACAACCATTTTAACATTTCAGTTTTTATAATTACCTTATTAAATATATCTGTGTTGTCTTTCAGGTCAAATACTTAAATTTAACCAATTACTTCAGTCAGTCAGAATACGATGGTTATAATGCTCAACACTACAAAAACACTTAAAAAACACTGATGCAACCTGAGCAGATCCAAATGCAGTGCTGAAATCAACACTTTTCATTCATTTTTTTTTTATTTCACTTTAATCATGACAGCCGTAATAGATTTAGTTGTGTATGATTTTTTTATCTTGAATTTTGGGGGCATTTTTGTCCCAAGCATCTAGTAATTTGTTAAATTTAGCGTGCAAATTGTCTTGCACAGTTTATGCTATAAGGTCATTCCATGTCAAATCAACCAAATTTCCCCGGGGTCTTCCCCGGCATAAATTTCTGATTTTGTTAATATTTTTTCTGAAGAAAAACAAATGACAATTTTCAGCTGAGATTTGGAGCCAAACTACAGGGGGGGGCAAAAATGACTTTAGCAAATGACATAATTTTATTTTTACACAGAGATGGGTATAGGTCTATTAGTGAAATCTGTTGACTTGACGAGTAGTCTTTGATGCATTATATGCCAATGGTTACAGTTCAAAAATGGGAAAAAGCACCACTAGAGTTTTTTTTATTAGGTTAGTATGCCTCTTACTTGGGAAGTATTACATATATTGCCATAGCCTTTTCAGCCAAGGGCCTCTAGTTGAGGAGACACAGAAATACACTATAGACATTTTGACTTGAGCAAATAAGCAACAATATAGCAACATGCAAAAAACCACTCAAAGCCATAAGCAATCCCCTGGACATCACCCTACAATTGTGTTAGCAGGTATTTTAGGTGCTTTTACTGTGTTTCGGTTCATAGTGTTTTGAGTTGGATCTGTTATCAACGGCCGTATTCAGCCCAAGAAAAAAAACATCAATACAGCGGCCACGCCACACAGCTTTCAGCGCTCACAGTGCATTGAACTTGAACTATGTGCTTTCGCCTGCCAAGTTTTACCCTGACGTGAGCTGGAATTCGCTCGCCCTCTTGCTCTCTTGTTAAGCTCTCCAAAAGCGTGGCCCGTAAACATGCACTTTTTCTTTGAGCTAGGCTAGACCTGGACTATGTCATGATCTGACAGGAGCAGAGGGGAAGTTCTCTCAGTCTCTGTGTTTGTCAGGGATATGGGGAAGGACAGGTACGCACAGGTACAGGTTATTCTGGTGCAGGGCGGGTCATTGCAAATGCCGCCGTGGGATCTAAAGTGTAGCACTTGGCTCAAGTCAGGACAGGCAAAGTTCTTAATAGAGCTGAGTTTACAGAAGAAGAAGATAAATGCAGTAGAGGAAAGGCCAGTGCTTGGGTTGGACCATTCTTACCATTTTTAATCATGTTCTTGTGCTTTTATTTTTTGCAGACTTAAACATTTGTCGCCCAAAAATAAAACTGATCTTTTTTTCTTTGTAGTTGGGCCAGTAAAAATATTGATAGAGCAAGTATAAAGAGCAGAAAAATCCTGAATTTTGAGCCCTGAAAGGTAGTTGGATAAGTGGAGAGAAGTAAAAGAGAACATAAAGAGACATGGGAGGAAAAGCAGAAACTGTAAAGGCGATTTGAATGTGGAAACAGTGTGTATCAATTTACTCTATTGTTTTGACCTGATGGTTTTTGTTTCTTTTCACTGGTTTTATTAAAGATAAAATTGATCAAATTTTGGTCTTCCTGTTGAAGATGTGTGGGCTTTCTTTGGTGTCGAAACCCCGCAAGTCCTGTGTGTATTCTCATGTGGTTTTTTTGAGATCATTTATGTGGGTTTGGGCTGAATA